TAAAAACTCCTTCAGGGCAGAACTTCTCAAAGTTGGTGACACTGGGAAGGGATTCAGTCACTTTGGGATCCACAGAGATTTTTTTTAAGTAGCTGTGCTGGGGGTGGGCGTTGTAGGGTTCTTCAGAAAAGTGTCAAAGTGCTTCCTGAAGCAACAGGAAGGAGGTCCCCATGTGAGTTAGAATCTGGGAGGAAGGAGTACAGTCCAACCACTGTCTTATCTACAAGGGGTTAGATTTAAACAGGCAGATGTATCAATAAATATATACACAAATTATGTACAGATGCCCTTGGGTGAAACACGTCTACTCATTTCACTGACACTTGTACAAACTGCTTTCCTAACAGCGTTATTAAAACATGAGTATTTTGTAGGAGTAGGGTCTAAATTTTGAGTGGCTCCATGGTAAATCCTTTTCAGAAAGGGGTCTTTGCCAATGAACGTGGTTTGCTCACTGGGGGTATGGTATTTCAACTGAGTCAGACCCCACCTTCCTCTCTCTCTCTCCAACTCCAGCTCTCCCGCTCCACTTCTCTGTGAATTTCTGCACTGAGTGTCTCTCCAATGCTCTTCACTGTCTACATGTCAGGCACATCATGGAATACTGAATGGGTGCAGCTCCAACAGCAGGCAAGGCCTTCCAGGAGAGAGCGCTCATCATTTTCTAGATCCCAGCCACCCCCACCACTACCAAGGCTCAGTGCCAACTACAAGACGCACTGCAGTAACTCAACAAGATGGTACCTTCCAAACTCACAACCACTTATTTTTCACAGGAAGTGGGGGTCGCTGGCTGGCCAGCATTCCCGGATTCAACTCCATTGTTGCGTGTCTGGAGTCACATGTAGGCCAGACCAAGGTAAGAATGGTAGATTCCAGCTGGGTTTTCCTGACAATGGTTTCATGATCACCACTAAACCCTTAATTCCAGATTCCTTTGTCCTCAATTGAATTCAAATTCCACCATCCGCCATGGGATTTGAACCCAGGTCTCCAGAATACGGAGTTACTGGACTAACATCAAGCAACAACAGCACTGGGTCATCGCCTCCATCTTGAAGGACAAAGGCAGCAGATACATGGGAACACCATCACCTGCAAGTTCCCCTCCAAGTCACTCACCATCCTGACTTGGAAATATATCGCTGTTCCTTCACTGTCGCTGGGTCAAAATCCTGGAATTCCCTCCCTAGCCCTAACTATAATACCAAATGCATGGTGCATTTCCTTCCCTAACCCTAACCCCATCCCTAACTCTTACACACCAAATGCATCCATTCTGAGGAAGGGTCGCCAGACTCAAAATGTTAACTCTGACTTTTTTTCTTCACAGATGCTGCCAGACCTGCTGAGCTTTTCCAGCAACTTCTGTTTTTGTTCCAAATGCATAGCCATGGTTCCAGAAGGCAGCTTATCCCTATCTTCACAAGCGGAACTTGGAACAGGCGATAAATACCAGCCTTGCTAATGACACTCAGATCCCAAAACTGATTCAAAACAAGGTCACTAGATCTCCCTCCTCTTCTGCCAGGCCACTCATCTCCTACCTTTACAGAGCAGTGGAAGAATCAGTGCGTGTGGAAACTAGTTACCAGTGTGGGAGTCTTTTGTTTTTTTTTTCAAAATAAAATGGGTAAGATCGGGTGTGAAGGGAAGAGTATGGGACAGAGCCTCTGTATCATACAGACAAAAAAGTGACTCATTTTCCCGCTCTTATCTTCTACCTGGGATCTACCTGATAAATCTGTTGACTAACCTCAGCAATAACAAACACCCGCAATCATGTAACACCTTCCACATAGTAAAACACGCTTCACAGGATGGCTGTGAAAAATGATTTGTTGCTGAGTGACATCAGGAAATATCAAGGCAAATAAGCCAAAGTTTTATCAAACAGTTGGTATGTTAGGCAGGAAATTCCCGAGTATAGGGGCTCCATCATCGACAGTGCTTAATCTCCTCACAAGCATGGAATTTGCTGAGTTTGTTTTTGTCGTCTCAGAGAAACAGAACATAGTGAGCACTGCTGTGCTTTGGTGAAACAGAACTCTGCGCTGAAGATTATAATGTTTCAGTCCTTTGGCTACCAACTGTAGCTGGAGATTCAGGTAACACAGAATCGGTATCTCCAACGCACTCAACCTGTTCACCACAATTGAGCTCCTGTACCCCACTTTAAAAAAAACGTAAGCAACAAAGACTGTTCCATTGGGCATACTGTGCCTGAATCCAAATACCTACCGTCTGCTACTTGCATGGCCTCATAGTATAAATTGCTGCAACCACTTCCTGGCCTTAAAGGGATGCACATCTCCACTCTTTCAGAAAAACATAATGTACTTTATATGGTACAATATCTCCATATAAACCCCTTGTTACCCTCGCTGTGTGAGGTTTCTTCTTCTCTTCTGTTCTTTTATTGTTTTTTTTTGGTGGTAAGTGGCAGGAAGGTGTCTTCGTTGGGGAGCGCGGTGGCAGCAGATGAGTCCAGACTGGGGCTCTGCATTGAGGAGGCAGCTAGCAGAGGGGAGAGCATAGGGACCCAGTATTGGCTCCTACATTGGCGGAGGCTGGCGGCCATGTGGTGGTTTCAGGCCCACATCCGATGGTTCGGGATTCGTTTGGGCAGCTTTTGCGATGTCTTCTCCCTCCCTGGGATCAGCGATGAGACTGGACTTTGGGATGGCTTCTCCCTCCCTGAGATCAGTGATGAGAATGGTCTTTGGGACGGCTTCTCCCTCCCTGGGATCAGCGATGAGAATGGTCTTCGGGACGGCTTCTCCCTCCCTGGGATCAGCGATGGGA